TAGGATAGATAGAATAGATAGATAGATAGATAGATAGATAGATAGATAGATAGATAGAATAGATAGATAGATAGACAGATAGGATCAGATAGGACGATATGAGATAAGATATGATAAGGCAGGATAAGATTGAATGCGATGGGATAAGATAGGAACAACAGGATACAATAAGTTGAGAAAGGTTAATACAGGATAATATATTATGAGAAAAGACAAGGTAGGTAATGTAAATGGGAAGATATGATAAAAGAGATACATAAGATAGATCAGATAGATAAAATAGAATAAGATAGATACGATAGGTACGATAGATGGGAACGATCGGAGAGATGGGACAGATAGGACAGATAGGACAGATAGGACAGATAGGATAGATAGGATAGATAGGATAGGCAGGTGGGTAGGTGGGTAGGGAGGTAGGTAGATCGATGGAGATAGGATAAGGTAGGAACACATAGCTAGGATGAGAGAGGATAAGACGGGATAAGATAGGATAAGATAGCATAAGATAGGACAAGATAGGATAAGATAGGATGATAAGATAGGATAAGGTAGGATACAATAGAAAATAGGATTAGATGGGATAAGACAGGATGAGGGTAGGATAAGACAGGATAAGATAGAGAGGTAGGTAGAGATATAGACAAATAGATCGATCGATACATAGGATGAGGTAGGCTAAGACAGGGCAAGACACGCTGAGATAGGGCAACATGGGATAGATAGGATAAGATATGATAAAAGAGGCTAAGATAGCATAAAACAAAAAACATATGTCAAGATAAGATTAGGTAGGTAAGATAGATAAGGTAAATAGTATAGATATGATAGATATGATAGACAAGGTAGATAAGGCGCATGATATTTATCAGATAGATAAGATGGACAATCTAGAAAAAACAGATACCATGAGATAAATAGGACTGGTATGAACAATTCTATAGATATGCTATCTGGATAGGATAAACAGATAGGATAGATACGATCAATAGAACGATCAATAGATAGATAGATAGATAGATAGATAGATAGATAGATAGATAGATAGATAGATAGATAGATAGATAGATAGATATATAGACAAACTGATAGATAGATCGATAGATGGATAAATAGATAGATCGATAGATACATAGGAAGGTTGGTAGGAATATAGATATATTGACACAAAGATGGATACAACTTGATGGATAGAGATAGATAGATGTAGATGTAGATAGAGATAGAGATAGAGATAGATAGATAGATAGATAGATAGATACATATATAGATAGATAGATAGATAGATAGATAGATAGATAGATCAATAGACAACTATGTAGACAGTTAGGTAGAGATAGATAGATAGATAGATAGATAGATAGATAGATAGATACATAGATAGATAAATGGAAAGACAGAATATGCGATGAGTTTGCCGCCTTTTCAAAGGGTTATGTCCCGCGAAAGTTGGCATTTGCAAGGTTTTCACCGCTTTCATGGGTTTTCGCGTGTTCACAGTTTTCGTGGTTTTTGCGTTTTTTGCCGTTTTCGCGGTTTTCGAGTTTTCGGTTGCAAAATCCGCTTAGCGCACGTCACGAAAAAACTCGCACAGTTACCTTTGCCAACCCCCCCGAGTCAAGAGGGCTCCGCTAGTTTTCGGAACATGGTCTAGATTCGCATCGCCTGACGTTGGTGCCGGCACAAGAAAGTTGCTCTGCGAAGCCTCTCCCCACGACGTACTTCTCCATACCTGGGTTGGTCAATCTAATCCAAGCAACACAGCTTCCTGCTGCTGCGTGAGGTGCTTCCGCCCCTCGTGTTTGTCCCTAACCGCCCCAAAAAGGGCACCCTCAGAAAAGGGGGCATGCACCTAGTTGAATAGGGAACTGCTGAACTGCGTTTGATACTCATAAACATGTCCCCACGAAAGGGTTCCCACTTTATACCTATATGGTGGTTCTCACACAATGTTCACTGTCTTATGGGGACACAAAATACAACCCAGGCCCACCATTTTTCGGGCCCAAATTTGAGAATGCCGCATATGATTGTCCTTTTTGAGGGACCCACGCAAATAAGCACCCTTCTGTTTCCCTCTAGAACCAAGAAGGGCGCATAGAGCAAGACGCACTCATAGAGCAAGATGCAAGAGAAGGGACGCGACACCCATGAGGCTCAAAGCGGATCCACCGCAAACGCCACTCAGCGAGATCCCCACCATCGAAGCCAGTAGCAAAACCTTGGCTTGGTTAACACGGGGCTGGGCTGAAGACTTCAAACTGGGCTGAAGAAAGTAACACTTATTGGGCGTCGTTGGGTTGAAACAAATCTACCCATCCCCTTGTAGTGTCCTTCTGGGAAAATGAACACCTATGGGTTATTAGGCACCCGGACTTCAAGAATACATCCAAACACCAGCTTTACAAGGGAATCTATGAATTTAGCTGGTGAAAGCGCTCTCTGGCTCAGCCAAATGCATCCTCTGAGGTGAGAAACAATCAGTACACACACCCAACCAATAGGTACCGCTAGCTTGCGTTTGGATATCTCTCAAAGGGCGGCCCCAGTCGGAACCCGTGTCTTAAGTGCTTGTTACTCACTATGCCGTTGACTTGGGACCAATCCGGTCCATAGTGAGAGGTTTCTCTCCTCTTCCAGCAAAAAATGCAAAACGAACAGCAACCTACAGCTTTGGTGGGTCAAATCTGATTTCGGTTGACACCAGCACAACTTTTTTTCTGGACCCCGAGCTTCGGAGGTGGCGCGTGAGGTCACCACTTGCCGATGAAATTTAACTGGCCCTGTGCTTGGACATCTTGAGGAAATAATGTATGTCCACCGACCAGTGTTAAGCAATTTATTTGGAAGTACATTGACCTCGTGATAAAGTTCACTTTTAGTGGGAGATACATCTCAACGCAAGTCAAAAAGTCAAATGGCCAGGGGACCGCCAAACAAACCATGAAATACAAGTAGTGAGGATACATGCTATAGAATCGAATTGCATCGCGCCGATTTGGGCACATTCCTACTTGCATGAAAATATCACAAGCAAACGACCAGAATGTCTTAGAGGAAGGCCCATCCAAATAGTACTGACGACTTGACAGTCACAGTTGCCTCAGTGGGGATCCAAAAAGCAACCAGGGCAGGAACCCGCCCAACAGCACACAGTGGGATCATCTCAAGCACAAGACACGCCCGGATAGAAATGATTTCCCCGCAAAACCCAACCAACACTGAGCTTATCAGGGCTAAGACAAATCCTTGTTAGACAGAAATACCGCAGAACCCGCTGGTTGCTTCCCCGCAGCCAGCCAGGTGGTGGCTCGCAAAGGTACTTGGAGCACTAGCAAAAGACACAGAATCTGTGTGGTGGGAAGCTCCAGCCAGCCTGCCAGGATTCGGAAGTCGCATGTTAAACTGGGAGAAGCGGAAAAACGGTTCAACAAAAACAACGAAGCTGGCCTGGAAATGTTGAGGTTTGCAATAAGCCAACAAGAGTTCAATCCTCAAGTAAGGAGTTGCAACTCGGTTTTCCGCCGGATCAGTGAGCTCGAAACCCATAAAATCCCACCCACTACTTTCCTACCGGATAGGGAGTTCCTAAATAACCATCTTCCTCCAAAGGAGACCCGGTGTGGTTCCTTCCGCAAATCCCCCGCCTTCGGCACACGGCATCCGCAACGGCTGGAGCAACACCAAGGATACGCTCTGCAGCAAACAGCACAGGAGGGCCAGCAGCTCATCGGCATAAGGCAATTCACGGCGGAAAATGCACATACGTGCTCCGAAGTAGAGGCTAAACACAAGCATCCTGAGACTTCCAGCCTTCCAACTTGCCGCAACCTAAAGGTTGAATTAACCTCTGGAAAAAGGCTGGTGTTTTCCCCGAAATATGACGAACGACAATTCACATGGCCCCGAAAAGAAACTGCCTTGTTTGTTTTGTTTCATGTTGTTGTCCATTTCAGGAACTTCGAGAGGGATGTTTCGTTTCGGGGCAATCTGGCCACTGAAGCCGCGCATCGTGCTGGGAAGGGCTATCTCCATGGGATCCTCGGTGTCATCTTCCGCACTCCAAAGATGTGCAGCCAGAATTCCAGCAAAAATAATGCTCACCTCACACGGCCGCCAAGCCAAGGTGGGAAAACAGGAAAGTGTGTGGGGCAACGGACAAAAGAACGAAATGGGCAAAGAGCTCACGTTCGAATGGTAGCCCTGGTGTACCTGGCACAGAGCTATTTACTAGGTGTGTCCTGAAGTGGCCTCAAAAAAAACACAAACAACTTGAAAAAGCCACTGCGGCCCAAGACGCTACAAAACCCGCTGACACCACACCGTGGTTTTTCCTGCAATGGGCGATGAAGAGCCACTTGACACAATGTCCGTAGAACTTCAAACCACAGCACAAAAACATCTTGTGAGGCGTCCCTTCTACATGGGGGGCAGCCGGGCAGCAGAGCGGGGGCCCGGGGATTGCAGCATTCTGAGAACGGAGGGGCTTTGCGCCTGGAATAAGCAGCCTCCAATGGCTGATCTGGGAAAGCCAGAGTGAGCCAGCACCACCTCAGCCGATCGCTAGGGCGATGCAAAGGGGCCATGGGATGCAGGGGTGAGGGTACTCTGTTTGGGTGAGCCCCATATTTTCCCTGCAACCGCTGGAAACGGGCTTGAGATTCAAGAGCCCGGCTTGTTAGGCAACCAAGGAGATTGTGAATGGAGGGCTAGATGATCATTGGCGCGCGAAACCAGAATCAAACAGTCGGGTGGTGGCAAAGGGTACAACGATTGACATTGAGATAGGGCTCCCCAAATCCCAACAACAAGATAATTTTCTGACCTCTGATGCACGAAAAGGTAAACCCTGAATGGAGCAAGGTACAGTCTACAACAAGGACATGACGCCGTTTCATCAACCTTTTGCCGCAGTGATGGAACAGCAGGGGGATTTGCCCAAGGGACAGAAGACCAAGGTCGATGCCTTGCTTTCCGATCAAACAATAGACCCAGAATCCAAGAGAGGAGAGCCACAACTTGCACACATAGGAACAACGCAAATGTCCGCTCTGTTTCTCGTGTTGCTTCCTCTTCGTTTTGCAAAGTGCTATTTCTACCAAGAAATCCTTTCAGCTGGTAAAGGGGAAAACAACCAGACCTAGGGACCCAGTGCAAAAGGTTCACCGCTTGGCTTGGCTGAAGCTGGAAGTGAGGAACAGCGAAAAGGCAAAACGCTAAACGTGACCTTCCCACCTTGAGAATTGGGACCTACCTGGGTGGCTTGGACCATTTTCCCGACGAGGGCTCCATGTTCGGTCGAGCCCGGGCAAGCCACAGTTGCCGGGGCCAGGGGTTCGACTTCTCGCTCTTACCCATGCGAGTGCCAGTTGGTCGAGCCCGTGCCTTAAGCCGCGGGCTGGAGCCAGGCTGCAGAAATGGAGACGACACGTGGCTTGCCTTTTGGGTCGAATTCTCCTTTGACACGACGGAAAAGAGGGGACCCTCAAACAAGACACATCCATATAGTGAGCAAACCCAATGCAGTTACAGAATGGGACATCCACAAGGTCAAGCCATGTCGAGCTTGTTACTCACGTAACCTTCCAAAGAACGGGTAGCAACTTGGTCGACGCCTGAACATGGGCCCCAAAGTAACATGCCTTCCCCACTCGGCGGTGTACTCGAGTGATGTATTTAGCTGGACTTTCAGCTTACGTTCGGATGATCCGGCGGAGGATGCTGATGATGGGTGGCAAGCCCCAAGGCTGTTCTCCGCGTATTTCTGGGTTGACATTCCACAATCGGGGCCAACTTTAAGGCTGAGCCTGCCAAGTGAACAGCGCCCCAAACCCGTCGCATGGTTTTACCAAGATGTTGTCGAAGCCTTCTACAGAGATGAAACAAGCGAAGGCTGCTTACTAAACTTGCTGGTGCTCAGCAGAGAATGTGGGAATGAACCCAGGGATTCCTTTAAAGGAAACAACAAGAGATGGTTCATAGGGGTCATCCCCCCACCAACAGGTCAAATGGCCGATGGAGATTTTGAGTGTGCAGATTCCATCCGCCTCAAAGACAGCGCTGCGGTTTGCCACCAGCCGCAGCTCTGGCCGGGGAGGAGAAGGCCTTGAGGCCGATTGCATTTACGCCAACATTTTCATTATTTCAGGGGGTCAGATTGCTGATTCACAGCGAGGTGTTGGCAGTGAATGGCCCCGCTGATGAAACTAATGAGCTCGACATCGTTAGTGCCAACAATTGCATACTTATCTGCGCACAAGAACCGGGGCGCCCCAAATTTTAGTAAGTTGTGGGCAGGCGTATGACCCCGCAGCAACAAAGGGCAGCCCGCATCATTGCACAAGTTTCTACGCAAAGTATTTTTGCACATTCTCCGTGTAAGTTTGTCTACACGCGACGCATGACTACAAGCTTGCACATTTCAAGCAGGAGATGTCGAAGTGCACTCGGCGTAGTACATGTGCACTTCACAATGGCGGATGTGGTTTGGGAAGCCTGCTCGAGCACTAGTCCAAGGCGCACGCGCCAAAGCACAATATTCAAGGACTCATTTCCAAATCTCCTCTGGCCTCGCACGTTGCCACGCGCGACTCACGCAGAAAACCCCGCGAGCAGATCGAAAGACATGTCCTGCGGGTTTCGGCGCGGGTGTGCATAAACAGTATGAACTACCAAATTCCATCTCTTTTCGCATGTCTCTCATCAATATCTTCCAATCAAGTTATGTCTGCGATGCATTTTGTCATGAGCAATCAATTTAGATGGTTTTGGTGCGATGCTAGTTTTTGCATTTCTTGACATTCTTCAAGTTCACTCAAGGAAACGAATGGAGAGGGAAGGAAATCAACGAATACGTTTTTAGTGGCGAGATGCTTGAGGGCACGCCAATGAAAGGTGGTATAAGGTGACGCGGTAGTATTTGAGTAGTCTGCTAGGTTGGCTTTGTCGTGAGCTTCGAGAGCCAGTGTATATGTTGCGACGAGATAGTTCCTTCACTCTGTAGACACCGTTGATGGTTGTAGCGAGAGCAAGTTCTAGTCCATTTCAACTATGGAACTGATATGCTGAAGATAGTAGAGCGCGAACACAAACAAGCTTTTTAACGCATTCATAAACTCAATGCAACTTAGCCTTTAGCCGCAACGATACTGCGTTTGTCCAATTCATATAGTCATGCAAAATCAGCAAGGTTGAAGGCATCTTTTCTTTATGATGTTGTCATTAGATTCACCAGGCAAACTGCCTGAGCGAATTCACTGCGCAAACTCCCTGGCAAGTTCTCCGCGCAAGATCCTCTGCGCAAACTGCCTGGGCAAGCTCCTCTGCACCACAAGTTCTGCGCAAGTGCGCAAACTCTCCGAGCAAAGCAAGCTCCGTGAGCGAGTCCTCTGCGCAAGTTCCGTGAGCAAAATCTCAGGTCCTGTCAAGAAAGCTCTCTGCGCAAGTTCTCTTAGCAAGTTCTCGGCGCAAGCTTTCTGAGCGAGTTGTCTGCGCAAGTTTTCTCTCAGCAAGTTGTCTGCTTAAGCTCCGTGGGCAAGCTTCCGCAAAAACTTTCTGAGCAAGTTCTCTGCGCAACATGTCTTCGCAAGTCTCTCAGCAAAGTTCTGCGTACAGTTTTCCCTGCGCAAGTGTTGTTCGCAAGTTGTTTATGCAAGTTACCCGCGCAAATTTAGTTGCAAGTTTCCTTGTGCAGCGTCTCTACGCAAGGTCAGTGCGAGAGATCCACAGAAAAAAGCCCTTTGCGATGTTTTCGGTCAAGAAGAGCTCTGTCAAGAAGCGTCAAATTAGGGATTCCTAGAAGCACCGACAAGTTGATCGAAATTCACGCGGTAACGATTGACCCAGAATCCTGGTCATGCAGCAAGCCTTGACAAGAAACGAGGAAGGCAATGCTTGACTCATGGCAGCCACCTTGGCCCAAGACAACAAGATAGCAAAGGAGCCGGTTGCCGCTGCGACTTGAGACTGGGCCGACCCGCGCCGGCGCCCAGGGACTGTAGCCGCCTCAATGAAGTTGGTTGATTGGGCCGCTGGCTGCGTGTTGTGTTTCTCTGACCCAGGGTTTTTTCATGTGCCTTTCCCACAAACCCAGCACCCGCACGCTCGTGACTTTCGCTTCCAGGCATAGAGCTCTTGTACTGAAGGTATACCCGGTCTGCCAGTAAACGGCAACTGCCTACAACCGCTTCATGACCTCTTTTTTTGGGGGGGGGCTCTTTGAGGGGGGGATGGCCTGATTTAGCTTCGAGGAGGTTTTGGCTGGACTTCCTGAAAGTTTCTTGAAGTTTCCAGAAGGCTCCTTTCACTGTGTGCTGCTGAAAATGAGCGGGAAAAGAATCAAGCCAGCTCTTGTTCGAGACTTCTGGCCTCCCAAATCCGTAGACTTGCTTTTGGTGTGTGCGTTTTGCTCTTTAAACAAGCTGTTGTCTACACTTCTTTAGGTTTGCTAGATCCCCTCAGACTTTTCTAGATTCCCGAGGGTTTCCAGAAGTGCTTCTTAGAGGCAAAGAGTTGGAATGCCTTTGTGGTGACTGACAGCGCCTAAATCCACCGTGTATGCTTGGTGTTCCAGCTGGAGACGTTGTTTGCCTCACACGTTTGTTGCGGTAAGATGAAGCTAATGAAGGAACAAGAGTGGTAGCACAGCAGGCAGTAGGCAGGGTTCTGAGTGAATTCTACGAGGTCCGGGATGGCGCCTTAAAGGTTCTAGTTCGCTTTCTACTGTGCCTAGAAAAAGTGGAATGAAACAAAGAGGTTTTAACATAGGGCCGGCGAAGAAAGTGCTGCGCCCAGCACAAGATCTGTACCTCACCTTGCGAAGTTGCAGCGCGTGCCACCAATCAAAACCTTGCGAAACCTTCGTGTGTCCGTGCCAATGGGCCGTGCTCGTCGAGACTGAGATGGCTGACACCGACGCGGATCCACCAAGACGCGCAGAGGGTCGCGTTTTTTTTTGCTGTTCCCCCGCCACACTCCCACGCACGCATTCTCGCACGCATTCATTCTTTCTTCATCTTATCTGCGCACAAAACTACCTTACTACGGAAGTTCCTTCTTGACGAAGTGGGTCCTTTGAGTTTGCCCAACCGAAATACGATACGTCAAGCATCTGTCATTACACTCAAGCGTGCTTCGGTGTAGATAGAAATACGTATGTGTTTGTATATATATATATATAGCATAGATCTTGGTTGCATGTCCTTAACTCATCTAATGCTGCATATACATATATATAGAAATACCACTCCCGGCATGAAAGGCGCCCGTGATTTCCTTGATCACTGCGGGTAGCTCGATTTGTACAGGTATTTAATATACACATGTGTATAATAATACGTGTATATTAATATATACATACATATACATATATATATATATATATGTATTTATGTATGCATGCATGCATGCATGTATGTATGTATGTATGTATGTATGTATGTATGTATGTATGTATGTATGTATGTATGTTTGCGTACTGCGGTCTGTAGTATATGTGCATGTATTGGTCCATTCAATGTGTATATACATATGTTGTGTGCATGTAGATCTGTATACATAGATCATGTTGATGTGAATAATCAAATCTATATACGTACATATGCATCGCTTTGTGTACATATATGTCATACGTATGAAAGTATATGTGTATCTATACGTATGTGTGTCTACATATCAACTCCGTAGCCACATGTGTACGTGTGTCTACAGGAAACACATGCAACCAGGAAATGAATATGAGGAATGGTCACTTATTTGTTGTGTTCCAACTTACATGGCCCAGGATTTTGGTGAGCAACCCCTATGTTTCAATGATAGCTTGGACCCTGTGACCCGTGTGACAGTAAATGCTTGTATGTGAGCAATCATCACCATCTCAACATGCAACAACTTTTAAAGCACACAAACTCAGAATTTCCGCGCGCCACCGACACAAACCATGACTTGGTCATTTCGGATTCCTAAAACTGGAAGATGGCAACCTCAAGCTCTTGGACCTGAGGTCTGCCGTTTTCCCCTGGAAACCATGGAGCGATTCTGGGTGCACCGCCGCGGTCGTCGCCTGAACACATTTTGCCCTGACATTGGACCGTAGTTGTCGCTGTTGAGGTTGGGTCAAAGGGAAACAAACGGCAAAATATCCACTTTCTGTCCTTATTTTGGCACATATCCCATCATCAGCCACGGGCTTGGGAAAAATCAACCATGTCCAAGCCCAGGTCCCAGGCTCTTGAGTCACGGGAGCCGCCCTTTGAGCCTGGGACTCTGACTCGTGTCAAAGACCCCGAAATGATCTGGTGCCTGGGGGAGGGGGGGGGGCACCCTTTGTGGCTAGATCCATGCGAGTTGACCAGTCAGCATGTCCCACGCCCCACTTCCGACAGTCTCTTTCGCATCCAACGGGATACCCATTGCTAGATACCAACTCTTTCCAACAAGGAAGTGCCAGGTCGGACGGCTCCAAGAAGTCAACTCTTGTTAGCTGCAAGGGAACTCAGGGTGGTGCCCTGTCCCCTTACGCCCAACAAGATTGGTCAAGGCAATGTTGCAAATGGCCTCATTCGATGTTCAACCCACTTCGTAGGCGATAACTCTGGTACCTGGAAAAACTGGGATGTGTGCCCTTATTGATGAACTTTCAATTGTATAAAGGAGAAATAGGGGGACCTCCGCCTGTCTTGGAATGTCTTGGAGGGGTACGGAGTCCGTGTCTCCACCTGCAGACTTCCCCCTCGAATACAAGGATTAGGAAATGGCCATCAAAAGTGACGTGGGTGATTCGCGTGGACAAGTCGGGCAAGCCCCGATTTCAAGGGAAGTCTGAAACATACACTCCCGGCACACGTAGGCGTTTCCATGTTGTTTGTCCTCAAAACCAACCTTCAAAGGGTACTCCCAGAAACAAACACTCACTCCTAAACTGAGAAACACACCCATTCATCCCCGGGATATGAGCTTGCTCAGCCCAAGGCTGTCGTAGTCGTACCAGTCAAGACCTGGCGATTCCGACACGAGCTTTTGCATCCTGAAGGTCCGAGCTTGCGGCACCAAATCTGGTGGGTAGGGACTGGCCGCAAGGCCCTGTTTTCAACATGGCTGACCGGCGGTTGCCAGCAGGAAAACAGACTTCGACGTTTTGGTGGAAGCTGAAGGCTGAACTGGAGGATGCCCCCACCGGTTGCAACCGCGACCAGGTTGCAAGGCCCACAACCCGTTGCTGTGGGTCAAACATATGCTCAAAAGAGGCGGTTACATGGAATCTTCAAGGCCTAAAATGGTGGTGTCCCCTCTTTATTTACTTCAAAAGGGAAGTCCCGCGGTAAATGCACCTGAACAATTGAGTGCATTTCAAGGAACCAACAAAAGCCTCACGGGGGCCCAAATGGGTTCGTACAAGTCTCGGTTCGTGAGGTGGCCAAAATGAGGCGGGCAAACGGGGGTGACTGGACCGGAAAGCTTCCTCTTGGATAGCTTTCGAATTGGTCCCATGCTTTTTTTAGCAGGCAAAAGGGACTGAAATAAAATTTCAAGGTGTCTCCTTTTGGAAACATGCCAGAGATGTGAGTCAACAGCAAACCTTCCAATTAGCCATGGTGTCCATGTTTCTGTCGCAAAAGTGTGCCAAAAAGGTCGCGTCAACACGTTCCTAAGACCACCTCCCGCTCCAACCCGCCTAAGTCATGGTACCGCGTCTGTCGCCGAAAGCTGTCCTTGGCTTCGGAAAATCGCTTCCCTCAAGGTAGACTTAAAACCGGTAAGTCTTCCTTTTCGGGAAACGGGCGACCATTGGGGTTAAGTTTTCCTTTGGGGAATCAACAAGTCAAACCTGTTCCTCCCACTAAGTAGGTGAGGCAATTGGGGTTGGCCCACTCGTGACCCTGATTGTTGACCTATTTCATACGTGGGTTGAACGTCCAAGGCACCATGTCGACATATGCACTTTCCGTATCAACAGCATGCGAGCTCCAACAAACCCACGCCCAACTTGGAAAGGGTGTCGGAATCTTAGAAGAAAACGATTCCAAGTTTCCCACCAAACTAAAGCCGAAACTTAGGGCCCACCAACCAGCAGGGTCCCAAGACGGCAATGGCAAAAGGGGCCTAACAATCAGCAATGAAGGGGGAAACAGCTGGGAAACAGCTTAAACTGCTTGTTCCAGCCACTGAGCCAAGACAACAGATGTGGGTTCAAACATCCTGGCTTTTTCGGCCATGTTCTTGGCCCCGGAAGTTGTTCAGCTGTTGCCCGCGGCAAAAGAAAGATCATTGTCCAAAAGTCAACAGGGTAGTTCACTGACACGCGATCCAGTAAAAAAACAAGAGGGTTGAACCCCAAGCACGCTGTTGATATTTCCTCAATCTACAAACGGGTGGTAAAAGAAAAAGCAAAGAGAGCAACCAAGACAGTGAGTCTTAAATTGGGTTTCTGGAAATCTCAAACGCTGCGCTTTTCTCCGATAACCCCGGAACCCATCATACCGGCCAAAGCATGCGCCAAAGCGGCGCCGAAGCGGCGCCGGTGCTCGTCCAGCTCCTGGCAAGGTCCCCCCGTTTGCCTGGGTGAAATGTCGCTGGATATTGATATGTTGCTTTTGGGAAAACATACCGTTGGGGGGCTGACTTCTTCTTTGTTTTGTTGTCCTTCGGGAGGGGGGAATTGATGCCATTGTTGGGTGGATGCCCTGGATATACAAACCCTTAGTTGATCCTGGGTCCCGGCATATGCCCATGCGCTATGGTTTCCCTAGATGTGGACATACTTGTGGGGTTCAAAATGTTACGATTTCCTTGTGCTGACAGTGCTGGGGGTGTGGGGAAAAAAGGAGTGGTGATGGATCTTACTTAGGTCGGTTGTTTATCCTGCTCGGTTTTGTAGGGCTCACGTAGATTTTCTCCTACATCCCCCCTGCGAGACTCACCTAAAACTGGCCTCACTAAAAAGCGACGTTCTAAGTGGCGCAAAAGCTACATGTGCCCACCCCCCACCCCCAATCAGTTTCCTTGCGCAAGTGGTAGGGTCCACCTTCCATACCTCCAGCCACTAAAGGACAACCTGAGACTACCAAACCGTAAACACGAGCGGCCCAAAAAACATAGCACCTTCCCTAAGGTCTGCCAATCTGTTTATGGCCGAAGGGCAAGCATGCAAAACGGCTCCACAAACGGTAAGTCGAATCGACTACGAAACTTAGCAATCACAATGTTGAACTACGCAGCTCCAAGCTCTGGGTCTATGGTGAATTGCAACTCAAACAAAGGATCCCAAAAGATGGGCAAGACTTAGACCCTCTGCAAAAAGCTAACCTTTGCTGCTTTCAACAAGATTCCAATCATGTGAGTCTCCTGGCTTTTGCATCCCAACCCCAAATGGACGGACGACAGGTTCGACCGAGCCCGCAAAAGGCATACACCAACCAGTGTTCGACTGGACATGCTGTCCTGCATCGCCTGTATCGCTGCGATGGCCGCGCTAGGCTTTGGGAATTGGAGGTTTAAACCCCAGGCACCAAAATGCGACGTGGCAAAATCGCCTGTGGTTTGGGGGCGAACAACAACGCCCCTCATGGTTTCTCCACCTTGGGATTACACCTGGGAAATTTCTCGTTGTGGCGGGTGTACTCTCAGGGTCCTCTACAAGGGGAAGCCTCCTGCAAAAAAAAGAGGGAACAATGAAACAATCCATAGTGGAACAATCCTACGATTGCTTGAAAACCCCTCCAAAAAAAGATAAACGGACATCACTCGAGGTCTGGCCACAACTAGGAGCTTGGGGTGTTGGTGAAACAGTAGGCTCCCAACCCACGCCCATCCACAGCAAGAATACCTTCCCGGTTGGTTTCAACAAACTGTCAACTAGGGATGCCGGATGAAGGGCTTCAAAGCCCACCTGCGTCGGCAGCTGTGGCACCCGCATGCCCCAGTCGCTGGCCTGAGTCGGCGAGATGTTCTGCAGATCGGGTGACTTAAGCCAAAGAGCCCTAAGATGTAACACGCCTCAAGACACCTGAGCCTAGAAGTATGAACAACACAAGGGAACCAACTGAGAACCCCCCAAAACGAAGCTTCAGGATGGAAACCAAAAAAACAAGCTCCCAAAAAATCCCAGCAACACCCAATGCACTTTCGGTTAACCTGCAGCATCCCGCTTTGCAGCTTGGGCTCGCCGCAAAAATGGCGTACTCATACGGAGATCTCTTAAACTAGGGGAACGCCAAAATGAGTGGCGTGCCTTTAATTTGCCTTTTCTGTCACCCAAAACATATCTACCCTCCAAAGAAAGCACAGATAGACTCCCGAGAAAGTGAGATCATCAAGTTCAAGTGTCTGCCAAGCGAGTTCCAATCAAGCACAGGCAAGTTGAATCTGATCGAGTCAAGAAGGCTTCCCTCTTGGGGCAAGCGACCGGCGGTTCAGGGGACCGAAAGGACCTTGCACTGCACGTAGGTCGTGATTCGCCCTATCCGGGACATGGAGCTTCGATGGGGACAGCTCCATGGGGACGACGGCTGCCCCCCTTGGCCTATGGTTCCACTCGCGAAGCTCAAACGCTTTGCAAAGCCCCCTGGCCCCGGCGAAAGGCGCCGCAAAAGCGACGGGTTGGTCCAACTCATCCCATCAAGTTGTCTGTTGATTGGTGTTTGGAAACAACAAGTCATTTCCCCGGAAGCCACACATTAGTTTGCTTGTTGTTGGAAGCCATCGTGCTGTCCATAACGTTTAAAGTTAGTCTGCTTATTGATTGTTGGAAACTGATTTGTTCAATCCGGGTAAGTTGTACGTTGGTGATTGGAAGCTATGTTTCTCAAAAAGCCAAAGGTTATGCTGATTGCTGCTTGTTGGAAACAATCTCATATCCCTAAATGTAGTCAAACATCTTGCTTGATGATGAACAATTTGTACGTATCTTGTTAGTGTACCCTCCAACAATCAAACACCTGTATACATGTGTATGTGCCTGTATACGTGTATATATATATATTATATATACATACATATCTGTATGTATTAGATGTATACGTATCTTTTTACTATTTTTAATGAATATATTTCATATATATATATATGTGTTTTCAATACTATCATATATGCATGTATACACACAGACACACACCTTGGTGGTGTGATGTTACCCACGCAGCTTCGGGGCCCCGGGCGCCGAAGCGGCGCCGCGCCTCGAGCTCCTCGCGACGCTGGCTGAAGAAGCAAAATTATTTTAAGCAGTTGATGATACATGAACTACTAACAACAACTAACAACAACTAACAACTAAACAACAACCACTCTTAGTTGTTGTTGCGAACTACTAACAACTACTCACGACAACTATTTCGCAGGGAGTTCATGAACGAGCAGGAAGATTCCCAGTTGTTTTCAACCGGTTACTCTTCTGGAAGCCAGGGAGATTGTTTGAGCACCTACTGGTTAGCAACTATGCTTTAAACAAAAGCAGGGAGATTCAAGAGCTATTGTTTAGACAGAGGCCTGTCGGTCTTCCTGTAACAGGACTTGGGCAAGGGTCAAATTGCTTTCGTGACATCTTTCTCCCAACACTGCCTGGCACAATCGGTCCAGCCCGCTTCTCACACCTGTCAGTTTCAATGATTGTGAAACTGGGGGGGGGGGTCGAAGGTAGACGGGTCATTTGGGTGTCGCCTTTCTTGAAGGTACCCATTTGGGATCAGTTAAATGGAAACACCCCCAAGCCTGGCTTCTTCCAAAGAGGACCAGTTCTTAAAACTGGAATGGAGCCTTGGAATTCCAATCGGCACAAAGTGGCCTGCATGAGCAAAGGCGTCTACAGGGTCCTAGTTTGGAATGTCAATCCTGTCTTAATGTTAACCCCATAACGTGGCAGATTAACAGCCAGTGGGCCAGGGGGTGCAACTCCCCCAAAAGTGAAAGCACTCAATCAAGACAGCCCCTTTTCATGAGCTTGGGCTGTACTGTGTGTGGGTATGCGGGCAACATGCCATCATTCACAAACCGGAAAATCTGGAATCCCAGGTACGGGGTCTTCATCCTGAGCTCGTTTTTTTTGTTTTTTCCCCGGATCGGAAAGCTCGTCCAGTGTCCGAGCAGGTCAACAGGTCGGAACCCAAAGTCAACAAGGGCTGACTTCCATCAGCTTCCCCCTTGGTTTGGACGATTTGGTGGAGGCAGAAGGGGTGGTTTCCCATTTACCCTCTACAAGAGCCGGGCTTCACATACAAAACCACCAAGCCAAACCACCAATCAAGCGTTACCCAAGCCAAACCACCAATCAAGCGTTACCCAAGCCAAACCACCAATCAAGCGTTACCCAAGCATAGACCACTCACAAACATGGAACCCAACACGGGGGTCCAAGACCGGTTTCCTTTTCAAGGGACTCTCTGGAGGGTACTCTTTTTGAGGCTGGCTACAAGGAAATCCAAATGGAGTCTCGGGCCTTCAATCGACAACCCAACCCATACCCGTTCGCGCACCAGCGGGTAGCTGCCGAAGCCATCGTAGATGTCGCCTGAACTCAGGTGCCTGTCACCTGTCCCAAGAATTCAGGGAAATTGCTTTAATGGAGATTGCAGTACAGCATAATATACACCTCAATGACCATCTTAGTAGAATCAAAAGTCAACGGGTTTTGGGCGCTGCTCAAATAGCTTCCAACATATTCTGCATATGTGCCCCCAACATATATCCCTATTCGTTCCCCCCAGAGGGCAAAAGACAATTTGTGAGTCTGCTGTCTGTGGGAAATTACTGTAAGTCCCATGTCCATCCCAATTGGACGTTGACTGGATATTTTGACTAAAACTCCAAAGGCTGGGGCGCTGACCTTGGAAAGAGGGTTTCCACTGGCCCATCTCCAGCGAACTTTTCTGGGGTCAACGCTAGCTTGCCACCCACCAATTTGCGGGGGTGAGGCCCTGCGATCGCGGCCTCGGTGACCGCTAATTTTGGAGACAGCTCCTATAAGAACTTGTCATGGTCAAAAGAAAAGAAGCTGAGTTGGGACAGAGCAAAGGGTCAAAGTGGCTCTCAATTGAAGGAGTCGAAGCCGCACCAATTTATACCTCCTTCTCCCTGCTGAGGAAGTGGCACCCTTGACAATGTGAAAAGAGTGGCCATGTTGGAGCGATGGTGGATTCCCCAAGGCGTGCAAGTGAATTAGCCACATCCAACCTCAAGACCTGGGCCAAGTGGGCAAATTGGGGGCTTCCCTCAGTTCCCTGTTCCCCTACTTGCAATACTTAGAGCATCTGATCCAAAAAGGACTTCAGATCACTTTCCCGTTGGATACTGCAAAGACCCAAGTTGGCTTGCTTGGATTCGATCCAATTGGCAAGCGGATTTCTCGGCGTCTTTGTTGTACTCAAAGGCGTCAGAACGTGTGGCTCCCGCTTTCAGCTCGCGTTGACCCGCGAGAATTCGACTCGACCCAACATAGGCCCTGTTGAGCCAGCTCAAACCTTTCACTTTTGGAGGTCCACAAACCCGCGTCCAGCTTAGTCTTCTAACCCGAACAGCTTCAAGGCGAGAGAAACAAATTTGGGCAGACACCTTGTGAACCACCAAACTCTTTAGGCAACCTGTTTTGGGGTTTCCGCGTACCCCATCCTGTTTTGATGCAAGGATACAAGGACAAGCTGAAAACACAGTAGTTCTTGTCTTGGTTTGGCGGGGGTTTATGCCCACCAACCATCCTTCAGAGTAGAGTGGTCCCCATTAAAACTCGTAGAATTCGTTTTTGCGCCTCTCAGCTTTGCCATTTCGCCGGCGTCTCAGCCCCCCGCCCAGGATGGAGTCAGGGCCCTGAAGCTGGATGCAGCTGCCCTGTTGGTGTCCAATTTGAGCCACCCCAAAACGGAGTCCCTACAAACACCCGCGAAAAGCAAGTGGTTGTGGAGAATCCAACATAGGCCCAAGGAGTGTCACCTGGTCAAAGGCTTCTCTACATGGGCAGTGGTTTCTGTGGTGTTAAAGGGAAACCCAAAAGGAACCCACCGTTTTGTGGGTCCCTTTTGAAAAAAAAGCACCACCTGGCTGTTGGCAGGTCTGGCCGGAGAGATGCGACCGACTCGCCTCCCCTCAACCAACCCTAGGATTGGCCGTGGCCACAGTGACGCATGCAAAACGTTCAGCCTGGATGTAAAGCAAGCGGCCGCTCGAGGGATCTGCGGGAACAGTTCTGTCCATTTGGAAGGCCCGTGTGACGCAAGCCTACCAGGACTACCCAGCGACTGCTCTACCCCGTTTGGTTGGACAGCACTTGCGGGCTTAGAAGCGCACAAAGGCAATGGGAGCATTGAACAAGCAAAGACATGGGTGAAACATGGAACACTGGAACACAGCCTTAGCAATAAAAAGCTGGAGCTAGACAATCCAATAGCTGGAGCTGGAACACAGCCTTAGTCACCCTGAGCACGTCCCTTCAAAGCCGCAGGCAGAGATAGTCACCCTGAGCACGTGGAATGAACGCGGTTTCTCATGTGCGCATTTGCTTGAAACGTTTACGGTTCCAAGGTACGCAACTCTTGCGATTTGAATGAAAAAGCTTAAAGCTGCGAACCAAGTTTGCATGCGGAGTGTAGCCAGGTCTCCCATGCTCTGACTGTCAAGCAACTAGCCATTTTCTCTTTGCGCTGTTTAAGAATCCTTTTCCAGCAATGACAGCTTACACCATTGAAACTGCCTGATGTCTAAAAAGAACGATGATCCAAGTGATTTGACCAATTGTCGACCCTTCCTGATGGTAGTTGGTGCATGTGCTTCCGGTTTCCTTTTCAAACCATCCTGAAAGGGAAGCGGATCGCTAAGTTTAGACCACGCAAAAACCATAGGAGTGGGTCACCGTCTTCACACAAACACATATGACCCACACGAAATGGAGGGCCGGCCTTCAGCAAGCCGGGAGGGGTCAGGATGTCCTGCGATCGGCCCGGATTTGTGGGGCAAACCGGAAGAGAAGCCCCCGCTTTTGGAAAGGAAACCAAAGAAATGTATCTATAGTTTTTGCAACGGGGTTGTTTTAAAGGGACTCCCAACACAGGGCGCCGCAAAGAAAGGTGGCGGTGGCGGTGGCGGTGGCGGTGGTGGTGCGGCGCTGCTGGTGCTGCTGGTGCTGCTGGTGCTGCTGGTGCTGCTGGCGACGGAAGCCACGGTGGCGGTGGCGGTGGCAGTGGCGGCGGTGTTGTCGCTGGATGGTCTTTCCCTCTCTGTTATCTCTCTCTCTCTCTCTCTCTATCTATGCATATGCACATACATGTGTATATATATATGTATATTCATGTATATATATATATTCATGTATATACATATATATATATATATATGTATTCATGTATGTATATATATATATATATGTATTCATGTATATATATATATATATATTCATGTACGCACTGGCGCGCATCACCTCACGTTCACCGGGTCCACTGGCTGATTGCGCCCTCAGCCGTCCTGAGCCACAGGCGGCGGCAGCGGCGCACCCGCACCTGTGAGAGAGAGCCAGAGGTTTGAAAAAACCTACGGGACCCAGCCGTAGTTTGTAACGGGAACCAGGCAGGTCAAGACCACGGAATCAACCTTTTTGCAGGGATTGCTATATGAATTCATATCCATATATTCACAAGAATGGCAAACGTGTCCCCGCTCACAAGCCCCTGAGCTTATACAGAAATCAAGGTGCCATCAACACATGCTCCAAGACAGTACCAAGGCTTTAGGTGTCAAGAGAGTATTGTGTGAAGTTTGGCATGGCTCCCGCAATAGGAACCCGTCGGCGGTTCATGATTCATGACCATCAGCCCCAGACAAACGAGTCGTTCGACCATGACACATGGCTCACTTTTCGAGGGGTCCTTTTTACGGCACGATGTGGGAAAACCACCACTGTTGGGAAAACTCCTCACTTTTTGGTTCACTTTAAAGGGAACACCACCACCGTTTACGGCGCGATGTGGGTCCATTCACCCCGCTGCCCCGTGGCCTGGGCTGAGCTCCAGCATTCTGCACTCTCGCAGGGCCTGGCTCGAAACTTGCGCCAGAGGAGACCGGACCCCCGGTGGTTTCCTCGTGGAAACCAAAAGGAAACAGCCTGTTTTGGGGGTTCCCGGTTCCCATATGTTCAGAAACGCTCAAAGGGGACATCACAAAGCAAGATCATTCGATACAGGTAGTGAAGGAACCATGGGAGATGATTATCTTTCTTGCCGTCACTTGAGGGGTGCACACCTCAAACTGGAATTGGAGCCGTGGTGGACAGACCTCAAAAGGAAACCAACTAATGAGAGGAGAACATCTCCTATTTTGTAAACCGTTCAATCCAACAGGAAACCACCAATCATCTGGCGTGGAGGGGTCCCCCTCATGAGGCATACCCATATTGTCTGTTGGGCAGTCAACCCCACACATCCTGGGACAGGCTTTGACCCCACCTACACCGTGCCAAATTGGGAAATAGAAGGTTTACCTCTTAGGACCTTGACTGAATGTTGGCAGCCAAAAGGTCAGAAGGCAAACAAATGACCAACCACTCGCTGCGAAAACCCGTGCAACTTTTAGAAATGGTCTGAGAGGATACCCAGTACTGGTTGGAAGGTTTCGCAACCGAGTCTACCGAATGAGTCTACCCCAAACCCATTGACAGGAGCGAAATGACGCCGATGGCTGAAAGTTGACCACCTCAACTTTGGGGCCCGCGCTCCAAGTCGAATGATGATACCTTCTCTCACTCTCTTCTTTCTTTCCCGTTCCGTTCCTTTCCTTTTCTATTCTTTCCTGTCCCTTCCTTCTTTCCCTTCCTTCTTTCCCTTCCTTCTTTCCCTTCCTTCTTTCCCTTCCTTCCTTCCCTCCTTCCTTCCTTTCTGTCTGTCTGTCTGTCTTTCTGTCGTTCTTCAAAATGACAGTCAGCCCGGTGAAAAGCAGCCCTGGCAAACAACCCGGACAACTGCGCGGAGGTGCCATTGGCACACAGCTGACCTGGACCGATCCTTTCTGGAAAATCTGTGAACATGTGCATGGGCTCTGTACAAAGCATGTCCCCTGTGCACCCAAACGAAAAACATGTTGGCGGAGGAGGGGTCCCACACAATCATCCGGGTTGCTCCCAAGACCCAAAAAGAATGATTAGCAATTGGCAAAGGAAAACCAAAAAAGGAAACGCAAAGAAAAATAACCAAAGGGGGCACACAAATTTGACCAAAAAGCATCTCCAAAATTTCGACCCAATCTTCTCCAAAAAAAACAAAAAAAGAAAGACAAACAAAAAAGATGACCGCCTTACCGCCGAGAAGACGTGGTCTCCGAGAAACTCGGCATCGGCCTGCAGCTGGGAGCTGAGGCGCTGCAGCGCCGTGTCCAGGCGCCGGGTGAGGCGCTGCAGCGCCCAGACCTCGGGTGGGGGGGGGGCGGGAGAGCGGGGAAGAGGGAGCGCAGTGCCCAGGCCGGGGGCTGTGGTGGGGGCCGGGCGGGGGGGGCGGGGGGTGGGCTGGGGGGGCGGGCGCGTTCGGTTGGTTCAGAGTTGCAGGGGAGGCATGTAGCGCTTTCGGGGCGTTAGATGGCCATGGGTCAAAAGCCAAGTCGTACCCCCAGTGCACATCCCAATCCAACCACTAAAATCGGTTCTAACATGGGTGGTGCACCTACCCGAAAATGGTACCATTGGTTTTGACCCACAGCCAGATGGCAAAGCATTGGGAATCTGAATGTCTTGAGCATGCTTCAAGATCCAGCGGCTGAGGTGTCAACATCCTGGGCGAAATCCGCCACAAACATCTTCCAGCGCGAGTTTGTCCACATGCTGTTGGGACTTCGAACACTGGTGACCCCAAACTCTCGAGCCCGGCACCCCGTTTTTGCCCGGAGTCCAAGGGACGCGGAAGAGAGGATCAACCACGTGTTTGGTTCAGATTCAACCATCCTTGACCAACCCGGCAAAAAGGTCAGCTGTTTGCCGGGTCGCGGGAAGCGCCTTTATACCACACAGCCAGCCAGGTTCCATTTTGGATTGGCGGAGGTTTTGGGGGGGGAAACCCCACACTCAAGCACCAGGGGTTCAAATCCCCGAACCATCCAACCACAAAGAGCTAACTCAAACGGCCCAAAAGCTGGCCACCTCCGGCTCGATCTTCATGCCCAGCTCCTTCTTTCCGAACTGCGCTCGTGACATTTGCCAAGTCTCACTGGTGTGTGGGGTGCCCAAACGTGCACCGGCACGCACCCACTTGCGAGTCTGGGTGGCCGCACGCGGAAGACTAGGAGCACCACCTGAGCATCCCAATGGCCGGGATCAAAACGAGAAAGAAGAACAAGAAGAAGCGTAAGCAACCCGGAACCACTGAATTCTGATTGAAAGGCAGAATTTTGCTGGTGAGTTGCAGTGGAACAGATCCCTTTTGGCGAAAAGGTCCTTTTTGGGTGCCGTGATGATGTGCAGAGCGTATGCCAGGGCCAACTGGGAAGTGGCGGGGGATCATTTACGCAAAGAAGCTAGGGCCCCATGATGAAGGTGCCGTTACTTGGGGATTTCCCCTTGAGCAGCATCTAATCCCCTTGACTTGTGGTTCTCTAGCATCGTCGTCATCAAGGTTTGCAAGGGACCTATGGCATCCTCATTGAAGCAGGTAGAAGAACCACCTACTAAAAGGGCCAACAAGGGTTTGGGGCACTTCTCACTGGAGGTTCGTGCTCAGAAACTCTGGTCTGTGTCAACTCGGAGATCACCGAGTTTCTTTCACCCACAACAGGACGAAACACGAAATGTCGCATGTTCAATGGGGGAACTGCACCAGATGAGCAACCAAAACCAGACGACTCAAACTGCGTTGGTCCAGCCGACCCTCTGCAAAAGCTGCTGAACGCTTTTGATGGCTAGTGGTTGGAAACATGCATCTTGTTCCAAAAAGCACTAAAAAAAGCAGCCAAAGACCGCAAAACCAGCCGCTCTCAAACCCGGGCAGCTCAAAGGGAGGCTTGCGCCTTCTAGGCCCTTACCTCCGGTGGCCCGGGGCCAAACTCTCATCAGCTACCGAGGAAGATTACCATTTCCCGATGCAACTCCTTGCCAGCTGCAGCTTGGTGCCTTGAAGACAAATGGGCAATCTCGTGCGCCTCTCACCTGGTGTCCTCTCATGTCTGTTTATCATCAAGGGCAAATGTTCTGCACCCATAGGTTCTTTGCCCGTTGGGATGTGCTCCTGTCTGAAAAAACCAGCGCATTTAAGAGATTACACGAATATGAACAGACAATGCATATGTGCATATGACTGTATGTGTACATATATATATATATGTAGAGAGATATTCGCTAGTACGTATACGGCAGGTGTAGTTTGGAGGCAGTATCGGGGTACATTCTCAGGGTATATAACAACAGGTCGAAAGTTACACTGTTCGATGGTGGGAAAGCCGGCATTTTCCGAAAGGTCCTGACAAGCAAGTTCAGCCAGACTTAGACAAGAGTTGGTTCTTGCTGGTCGAAAGGAGGGAAGCCTGGGTCAAGCCTGTGGTTTTTTGCAAGGACCTTGCGTAGGCCGCCGCACCGGCAGGGGAAGAAGCAGCAAACAGTAGCCAGCTTTGGGCATCGCCTGAGCGAAAGCACAAGTCGCGGGAGTTCCCAGGGGGCCAGAGTTAGATTGTTGATTGGAGGGCCAGGTTGGTTCAAAAGGAAACCGAATTGAAAACCGATGCCTTTTTCTGTTGGCGGGGCCCAGTTTGACACACACCCACGAGGAGAGACATGTGTTGACAGTTGTTGTTGTTTACAGAGGCTCCTGGGTTGCTTGAACATACTGGTAATACTGTATGCCCCAGTAAACAAAAGAATACCAAGAGCTGCAAACCGCAAACATCTCAAACAACTCAAATGCCACGTGGCAGCAAAACCCACGAGTCAGGGCCCCCGTATCTGCCAGAAAGGTCACCCAGGTTCGAGCAGACGATCAAGTCTTAAGGCCTTATCGGAGGGGCACTCCTTCATCGAGTGCAACCGTGAGTCTAGGATAGTTTGTTCATGATGGTTGCCCCCCTTAGCATCACCCTTCTGGTAAATGGCCTAAAAGTACAGGATTCCTCTTCAAGTTAAGCCACGGAATTGGTATTCTGCTTCTCTACTTATCTCCTTTGATCCTCTCCTCCTCGCCTCCTCTCCTCCTCTCGACAAAAATACGTCCCCTTCATTAAGCGTTTCCTCCTTTCTGATCTCCCCGAATGAACCTGCACAATGTTTGCTCATGGAATTAATTCATCAAGGGTACATCCGGAAACTCATGGCCTTATTTGGCTTTCTCTCAATTACGTTTGGGGATAGTCAACCTTCATTTTGAGGGCAAATTCGAGGATGTCCTGCTAAAATGGACTGCCGTGATGGGAGCCTTTACGCGGCCCCAAAGAACTTTCCGGGGGCGTCTCTAAATGAGATTCAAACCCACAATTGGGGGCCCAGGGGTGGTCTGTAGGGCGCCCCTAGAGTTTGGGAGGAACCAAAGAACGACCCAAGCAAAACCCGGCCGTCAATCGAGCAAACATGCGGCCGCACCATTACCCTGAAGAACACCCCAAACAGCAACCCCCAAGACACCCAGCTGTCAATCTTGCGAAAATCAACCAGCACTCCAAACCACCACTAAGCTGCATGCCCGCCTTGCACCATACCGTCAAGATGCAAACATGCGTCTGTCACCTGCCTGCCCGATAGCACCCGAGCGTCAATATCGCAAAAATGCGCCCGCACCGTCCCCACAAACTGCGTCCCACAGCACCATCAGCACCAGCACCCCAAGCATTCCCCCCTGCATCCTACTGTCAAGATGCAAAAGTACGCACGCACCGTCACCCCCCAAAACAGCACCTACACCAGCACCCCAAACTGCACGCCCCCTGGCACCAGCCCATCAATTTCGCAAATCACTTTCCCCTATTTATTAGAAGTTAGAACCCCTGTAGCTTTCAGCTATTTGGGGAATAAAGCAACTACCAAAAACGGAGGCCCTTGTTGCCCAGGCGTACAGTTATGACTTTGGGAAGTACTGGTGTGCAAGCACTGCTATCTGGGGTCTATGCTGGCCCCCCCCCCAAAAAAAAAAGACAAAAAAAAACACCAAAACGCAATCCCGCCACCCTCGCCACCCCCCCCCCCCGCCCGCGCGAGGCCGCGCGCCGCGCGCTGGGCGGCTTGAGCCAAGAATGCACGGCAGCGGCGTGAGGTGCATTCTGTTCCCCCCCCCCCCCGCGGCGGCAGATTACCCTACAGGCTGGCGTTCTTTCTTGCGGCGCTTTCCAAAAGTTCGGGCCATGCCAGTCTCAAAACCAAAGGGTTTCTGTACACAGTGGGAAGCTCATGCCATGCAAGCCTGGAGCATGCTTGCAAAGGCTAAAATGGACTCCTAAACAAAAAAAGAGTCCAGGATCCCAGGATCCCAGGGAGTGAGTTGACCAAAGTAATTACAGGAAAGCTTCAAATCCGAAACCCACCGGGGTAGCCAAAAAAGGCACCCAAAGGTGGCAGGGTCCAAGGGCCACAACTGAACAAGTTGAGGCGCCTAGAAATGTCATTGATGAATTTGGCTGGGCTGTGCCTTGACAGCCCCAAAAGTTGCAGGGAATACAACAAGCGATTCCTGGCGAAATCCTCACTTATGGAAGGATTGCCGCAGTCTTCCGGTTGGATGCCTCGCATGCTGCTTGCGCGTCTTGCATGCACAGCGTGCACTGTTCGAAAACGGATCGTGCAAGCCCTCAAGCGTTGAGGAGATGTCCAACCGTCACAGCCGCAATCACGGAGGCTGGCGTGGCCATGTAGCGGAACGAAACGGAACCACAGTGGGTGTGGTAGCCATGCTGGCTGCCGCCGTCATGTCATCCATGGCGGTGTCTCCGGCTCTCTCAGCGACTTCCCGAGGATCACAAAGGGTCATCGTCAGCAGCAAACGGCGGCCAGAGCGGACCGCTATCAGCATGGCCAGGCTCAGGCAGCACCAGGCGACGGACAACCGCGCACGCGTTCTCCCGGTGAAGGGACAAAGAGATGCGCTGCGCTAGTTGTTCCGCCGCCTGCCCGCCCGACAAGCCTTCCGCGGCCCCCCAAGCCTGACTGAGCCAGGCAAAAGCCTTCTTGGCAGCCGGCCCCCAGGAACCACCGTGCGCCTCGAGCACCACCGGCACGTACTGCAAGCCGCCGGATCTGCAAAGGTCCTCGGTGCCCAGGTGCGCCCGCTTCCGCTGCTCGTACCGCGCAGCCACGGACTCGGCACCAGCTGCGGACCCGTGCAAATCCTGGGCCTGCAGCCCAGACGTGACGGCGAAGTCCCAGCACACAGGCTGCCCTTCGCGCCCACGGGGCAGGTAGATGTCCGCAGGACGCCGGCGCCCAATGGTGGCATCCTCGAACAGCCGGTCATGGTCCGGACGGCCGGGTAGGAGGCCCGCCTTCTCCTTTTCCGGCTGGCATCCGGCTCGCTTGGCAATCCAGCACACCAGGTCCCGCAGAGCATTGTGGCGCAAAGTCCGGTCGCCACGGCAGCTGCAGACCAGAGCATGGTCACCCCAAGCATCCATAGCCCTGCCGCACGCAACGCAAGGGGTGTCTTGCTCCTGGACAGGAACGCGCAAGCGGCGCCGGAGCGCAATGCGGAAGAGCTCCGGGCCGAAGCGCGTAGCCGGGTCAGTGGTGGGCAAAGCGTGGAGCCACGCGCCCGCACCATCGGAGGCCACCAGGCGAAGGTGGGCTTTGGTAGCCGCATCCGCGGTGGCAAGCTCAGCATCAAGGCACGCGCGATCCAGCTTGCGCGACAGAGCTTGCTGGCGAGGGCGCTCCTCGCATGGCCACGGCAGCCTGGCCGCCGGCAAGAGGTTGGCATTGAGCTCCTCCAAGGCTCGTTGCAAAGTTGCCAGAGCGGGCAGTCCCTCGGCCTCCCAAGCCGCATCAACGCGGCCAGCCAGGCCCCTGGCCCCGAGCAGCGACGCCACGTAAGCTGCATGGGCATGCCTCGCAGCACTGCGAAGACCGAGTCCGCCATGAAGAACCCCACGTGTGGCCCGGCGCCAAGCCCCCTCGTACAGCGGCACCCCAGTGCAATTGACGAAAGCGTGGCGCACTCGCTCGTCAAAGCGCTCCAAGGCGGGCACATGCTGGTGTGGCGGGACCGCCCGAGCCGAGTAGGCAACCTTGCAAAACCCCGCGCAGAGGGTTTCTGTACAGGGAAGATAACCAAAAGGGGCACCGAAAGGATCTTTAACAACTCCTGCAGATGGCATGGAACGCAAACTTTGGCAACCATGCGGAACAAGTCCTTTTCCACAAGCATGTACAAATATGAGGGAACCGCAACCCAAAACAACACGGCCAGTTGAGGAATGTCCCATTGGGGGAAGGACCTAAGGACGGCTTTTTTGGGAGTCTGTGTCTATTTGCGGAGGTGACGACTCTAGCTCATTCTTGGAATGAGCCTTTCAATTCAAGTCCCCTGACAATCCCTGACCATTTACAGGAGCTAAGAGTCGAGTCAGAGATCGTGTTTTATTTAGGGGGGTGCATGCCAGCTTTCAGGCACTTGCCAACACGAGCCGGCCTCGGATGTCTCGGAGCTTGAGTCTTCTGCCAAAGACACAGTTGTAGCAAGGTGTCATTCCCTTTACCTATGTTGTCTGCAGTTCCCTCAGTTGAGCCGGCGGGCGGGAGTTTCAAATTGCCACACCCAGCAACTGGTCATGCAACCCACTTCTCCACATGCCTGCATCGACCAGTCTTGCTTGCTGGGCACCTGCCAGAACAGCCTCCGTCCAGAGCAAATTGCCGCCTCCTCCTCCTGTCCAAGCGGGAAGCCCAGCAGACCGCGCCTTGCGTCGTGTGTCCGACATGCGGCTTCTGTAGGGACAGGGGGTGTTCCGGCACCACCAGGTTGGAGCACCCGGGAAAGGGTAAAAGGCCTCCTGCCGTTTCCCTCGCTGAAAATATTTACCAAGAAAGTACTGATGAACAAAATCAACGCTACGCACCAGTTGGGACTCGGTGTCGGGCTTCATCCATCCCAACTGGTGGATTTTGTCCGTCCACAGCATGGTCATGGTTGGTGGGCATCATTCCCCATGTAACTGATGCCCACCAAAGAGTTCCCAAATCAAGGACCATGCCCTATATTGCCTTGCAAGCAAGCAAGGGCGTACTGTTCGGTGTATTCATGGTTGTACACGATGCTAGTCCCTTGAACGTGTGCAACGTGTTTATTGTCTACTGTACCAAAAGGAAGCCTGGTGGATCAGTTCCGACAAGTGAAGGATCCCCCTACGTGTTGCATCCAACAACCAGCTTGGGTTCCCATAGGCTCGCATCTTGCCATTTGAAGCGAAGATCTCTGACGCAGTGTAAAGGACCACCGAAGCGCTGAGAACCTCCAAATAGCCCATGGCCCAAATAGAAATATGCGCCAAAATAAGGGGCCGGAGAAAAAAAGCAGCGCGTTTTTCCTTGTGACTTCTTGAAGGCTTTCCCCTGGCTCAGCTTCATCAAATCTTTGCTTCTGAGCCAAAGCTTGAAATTCAAAGGTTAATTCATGCGACATGTTGGTCTGAATTCCCGGGGTTAGGATCCTTCAGTGCGTCACGTTCCTCCCAAATTCCTGCGAACAAATACACCGGGCAACCCGTCGGCCGAGGCCCCGGCCGCGCATCCCCCAGGTAGAAGAAGCGCCGCTGGGCCTCAGGTCCGAGGCCATGAAATCGCACCCATTTGGACCCCCCAGGTGGTTGGCGTCCTTCATTCCCTACCAACCACTTTGAGAAATACTTTGGGGTACTGGTTCTCTGGGAATCGCCCAACGGTTTAGGAATCAACACAAGGGATGGTTCATAGGCCTCATTCCGTGTTTCCCGACGGAGATTCGGCGAGATTTGAGTGCCAGGCGTGCAAATGGCGGCCCATTATATGTCAACTGACCTTCTGAGCCACTTTGGCGCGATGCTCAAGATATTTGAGCGGTGTTAGTTTGGAAGCATGCAGATCCATAGTGTCCCATGTGTCTCCTTTGAAGCTCGCCCGCCAGGCTACCCCGCGCAACTCAGCACCGCCGATGCCCGCACGTCACCCTAGGTGCAAGGAGGCGCTTCTCGCAACAGCAATGCCCGAAACCCGGATAAATGGCCGGCTAAATCTAGAAAAGCTCGGGAATGCGGCTGGCGTTTGGACAGAGCGATGGTTGAAAAGAATGGGACATCAAACCAGCTCACACACTCAGATTTCGAAAGCCTGCAAAAAGTGGCAAGCAAAAAATGCTGAACTATATAAGGGCAAAGGAGCTGAAGGCCATCGGAGAAAAGGCTTGGCACTTGCAATGCCGCTCCAGAGACATAGCCATCATCAAAATACACGAAGGACATGACTCAAATTGGCCAGCCCCTTGTTGGTGAGTCCATGTCCCAAGCGTGTTGACCGCACCCGGGCAGAATCAGAGCTTACATGGTACTTCCCCGGGAGCAGGTTCCAGTCCAAAAAAGGACGGTCCCTTCAATGAATTGCCAACAGAAAAGCTGACCTTTTTCCATGGCAACTGGGGGTCTGCGTAACATTCAGGCTTGCTTGCCTTCTCCAGAGTAGCTAGGACATGTTCCGCAATTGTTCGGCCCCAAATCACTTCCCGGAGAATTCATGGGAATCGTCCTATCTGGCAAAGTGGTCATAGGGTAACATCTGCAGAATTTTTGACGGAGCTCCGCAAGCCATCTCGAGAGGAACGTAGGCAAGCAGAGGAATCTATGTCAATGTGGCGGGGTAACTCCAAATTCCAAAGCCCGTTGGTGGACAACCAGACTGACAAAGGGGGAATCAACCAAAGGCCTGAGCCTTGCGCCTGACGGAAGCAAGCCGCCAACATGGAGCGGCGCCGCCTCAGCGCCCGGCGCGTGCTGAGCTGCTTTTTGTGATCAAAGGGGGTATGTTAACATCCCCCAAAAAAATATTTAGGGGAACCCATCAAAGAACGTGCTTCGGTGGACCCCCCATCCAGAAAACCCCCCCTAAAGAAAAGCGAAACGCGTCTCGCCTTTTTTCCCCTTTGAAGCTCTGGGTGACCCAACGGCAAAATCAAGTCCACACAAATCCAACCAAACAATACACCCGCTTGCGCGCAACCACTTCCGGCTTGAGGACCCCCGGGCTGTCACAGCTGTCCTGGCCCGTGAATGGCAAGAGCCTCAGACTTCGCCAGCGGTTGGCAGGAGCCTGGGGCTTTGGGCCGCCAGCCAGGCCACTCTGTCCGTCACAAGCCCAGCTGTCTGTCACATCTGTCTGTCACACTCTCGCAGGCTCCGTTGCAGCTGTCTGTCACAGGCTCTGTCGGCGGGCGGGCTGGGTCGTGGCGGGGAACGGTCACTTAAAAAATCAAACAACCCCAAACCTGCTGGGTGGTAAAAGCAAGGCAGGCAAACAAGCAAGCAAGCAAGCAAGCAAGTAAGCCAGCAAGCAAACAAAGAAGGCAGGCAAGCAAGCAAGCAAACAAACAAAAAGACAAGCAAGCAAACAAACAAGGAAGGCAAGCAAACAAGCAATCAAACAAACAAAGAAGGCAAGCAAGCAAGCAAGCAAGCAAGCAAGCAAGCAAGCAAGCAAGCAAACAAAAAAGGCAAGCAAGCAAGCAAGCAAGCAAGCAAGCAAACAAAAAAGGCAAGCAAGAAAGAAAGAAAGAAAGAAAGAAGGCAAGCAAGAAAGCAATCAAAAAAAGCAAACAACAAAAACGGCAAGCAAGAAAACAAACAAAAAAAGAAACAAACAACAAAACGGCAAGCAAGAAAGTAAGCAAACAAGGAAACACACCAAAAACGAAAAGCAAATAAAGAATCAAGCACGAAATGGCAAGCAAGAAAGCAAGCAAATAAAGAATCAAACAAGAAACGGCAAGTAATAAAGCAAGCAAATACATAATCAAACGGCACGCAAGCAAGCCAACAAACAAACAAACAAACAAACAAACAAACAAACAAACAAACAAACAAACAAACAAACAAACAAACAACGGCAAGCAAGAAACCAAGCGAGAAAGCAAGCAAGCAAGCAAGCAAGCAAGCAAGCAAGCAAGCAAGCAAGCAAGCAAGCAAGCAAGCAAGCAAGCAAGCAAGCAAGCAAGCAAGCAAGCAAGCAAGCAAGCAAGCAAGCAAGCAAGCAAGCAAGCAAGCAAGCAAGCAAGCAAGCAAGCAAGCAAGCAAGCAAGCAAGCAAGCAAGCAAGCAAGCAAGCAAGCAAACAAAAAAAGGCAAGCAAGAAAGCAAATAAAACAAAATCGGCAAGCAAGAAAGTAAGCAAACAAGGAAACACACCAAAAACGGAAAGCTAGCAAGCAAGCATGAAACTAAGCAAATACAGAATCAAACAAGAAACGCAAAGCAAGAAGCCAGCAAACAAAAAAACAAACAAACAACGGCAAGCAAGCAAGCGAGCGAGCAAGCAAGCAAGCACTCAAACAAGCAAAGAAACAAACAAACAGCAAGCAATAAACTAATAGAAAAATAAGCAAACAACAGAAGGCAAGCAAGAAAGTAAGCAAACAAGGAACCAAACCAAAAATGGAAGGCAAGCAAGCATGAAAGTAAGCAAATAAAGAATCAAACAAGAAACGGCAAGCAATAAAGCAAGCAAATATATAATCAAACGGCAAGCAAGCAAGAAAGCCAACAAGGAAACAAACAAACAACGGCAAGCAAGAAAGCAAGAAACAATCGCAAGCAAGAAAGCAAGCAACAAAAGAAACAAACAAACAAACAACGGCAAGCAAGAAAGCAAGCAAACAAAGAAACAAACAAACAACGGCAAGCAAGAAAGCAAGCAAACGACGAAACAAACGAACAACGGCAGGCAACAACGCAAGCAACAAAGAAACAAACAACGGCAAGCAGGATAGCAAGCAAACAAAGAAACAAACAAACAACGGCAAGCAAGAAAGCAAGCAAACAAAGAAACAAACAAACAACGCCAAGCAAGAAAGCAAGCAAACAAAGAAATAAACAAACAACGGCAAGCAAGAAAACAAGCAAACAAAGAAACCCCCAAACAACGGCTAGTAAGAAAGCGAGCAAACAAAGAAACAAGCAAACAACGACAAGCAGGAAAGCGAGCACACAAAGAAAAAAACAACCAACGGCAAGCAAGAAAGCAAGCAAACCAAGAAACAAACAAACAACGGCAAGCAAGAAAACGAACAAAGAAACAAACAAAAAGCGGCGAGCAAGAAAGCAAGCCAAAAAAGAAAAAAACAAACAACGGCAGGCAAGAAAGCGAGCAAACAAACAGACAAAACATCCCTTCGCCCCTCAACAACCCTTAGTTGGCCCTCCTAATCCTTGCAAAGCGATCCAAGCGCTGCACCCTGAACCGGAGGCACGCGCAGGGGCAACCTGGGACGGTCGCTGGAAATGTGGAACCCTTCCTGTTGGTGTCCCTCTAAACCCCCAAAAGGGTACCCTCAAAAAGTCACACCTAGGTTTGTAAGGGCCCCTTTTCTGCATTCCTTGAATAGACGGCAGCGTTTATAACCGTTCATGGATGGCTCAAAAGGGTACCCTTTTGAAGGTTGGTCAAGCTGTCAAGAGCAAAAGCTCAGTTCAACCTAAAACCATCACAAAAACTGTCAGTATGGCAACTTCTTTGGGCAACTTGACAGATACTTCTAACCGGAAAACTTACATCAAAGGGAACCCTGACAACAAACAACACGAGCCTTCCAGGGCGGTTTGTGTGGTGAGCTTGTGGACCAGCCATCTGTCACTGGCATTTGTCGATTGCTTGAAAGGCGCCTCCTTCTCCCATGGTGCCGCCAAACCCACCGAGGAAAGTTGACCAAACCAGGCGCCTCCTTGTGTCAGGTTCCATGATAGCAATTGGAAGGGCCTACTGCCCGTCTATCGGGATAGATTTACTTGTTCATTTTCTTGGGGGGGAACCTGCTTTTGGTCGGGGAAACCAAAAGGACACCAACCATTTCATGGGTAGGCGGAAACCCATGATCCGCAATCGTAAACCATTTGCGTGGTCCCTCTTAATCGAAGAGCCAATTTTGTGGACATGAATATGCGACAGACCTTCATGCTAAGTACGTTCTGTCAGATTGGTGAGGTGATAAGCGCATATTTTATGGTGTCAAGTAGTTGCAAGCTGGAATTCAAATTTGACATGTTACCGGCCCTCCCGCGTTCTCATAATCCCCCTTTTTCTGGAGCGGTCTCTCAAAGGAAACTATAGCCATATGGAGAGGTCGATTTTCTTGGTTCCAAACATGCCCATCCTTGTGTTGTGTGGTCTGCCATCGCCGTCACAAATGGGGAGGTCTCTTTGGGTCCCTCAAAAACAAACACGGCCTACATGGAACTAAGCCCTGCGCTGTCCATTCATATAGATCCATGTGTACCGCATGGAAAGCCTGTAGGTCATGGTCATGGCTCCCTGAAAACCCTCAAACGGGCGCCTAAGCTTTCCAGAGGATCCATGACCACAGACGTCGTATTTTCATCTTACGCCGGTCTCCTGGGCCTTGGCTTCGAAAGGGTCCCCTTTTCGAACCCGCAGAATGCACAGGCCGAGGGTCCAGCCAACTGAAGCTCTGGAAAGGCCTGGCAAAAGGAAGTGCCCATCCCAACGGCGATTTTCACAGGCCGGAACTTTCCTTGCCATGCGGTTAATATCGGCTTTAATGTACTCCGCAGCCTTCGAAAGGGGCGGACGGAATGGCGCAATGCCAACGGCTCGAGTTCATATTCAGAGGACTCGTGAGGTGTCGCCAAAAATGACTGGGTCTCTTCAACTCTCCAGGTCCTATGTTTGACGGCAAAGAAAGGGGTCCCCAAATCAGTCAACGACGAGGAACCAAGACAAACACACATGCGAGCGCCGTCAGACGCAATTGTGGCGCAGAATATGCAAAGCAGTGGGTTCCTGCCCCTTCGCCTCCCTTCGAAAAGGCAGCTGACCCATCCCAAAGGACGGTAACGAAGCCTCGGCATGTTGAATTGACCGGTAGGACATCTCTGCCTTCAGAGCTTTGACCTGGCTTAGCCCTCGCTCACTCGGCCCTAAAGACTCTCCTGACCCTTTGGTCCAGTCGAGAACAGGGAACCATCCCAAAAAAAGGCTTGTGCCACTAAAGCCAGACATGCTTTTTTGGCTGGCACCACTCAAAACGAAAAGCACCTAACAAAAGCAAAAGCAGAACATGGGCATGTCTCGTCATTTTCCGCTTTCCTTGTCAATCAACCTAAAGCAAGGTACCATCGGGAAAGCGCCTGTCGCATCTCCTCGATGTGCTCAGAGCAAACCACGTGACTGGCCGCCAGCGCCTGACGTGTTGGGGGTAAGGGAATCTCGCCATAGGCTTCAGTGTCAAAACCTGCAGACTG